ATTTATTGAGAGTAGATCATACGGTATGCGCCATTGTCTAAACTATTAAATTAAATAAAATAAATACGATAGCTAACAAAAAAATAATAATAATTAAAAAGGATAGAAAAATGAGAGATTTTTTAATTTATTTTTTATTTTTTTATTTATTATTACCAACAGGCCTGTAGCCTAGCGGTATAAGACCCCTACTTTCTAAAGGAAGGTTAGGGGTTCGAACTTTAGTGAAGGCCATGTGTGTGTGAGTGAAAGAAAAAAATAAGAAAAATTTGATATTTTTTAAAAAGAAATTAAACAAATTTAAAAAGTAAAAATACAAAATTTAAGAGATAATTTTAAAAAATAAAAATTTTAGGAGGGACATTATATGAATTTTTTGATATGTACATGTATAAATATATAAATTTAGTATATGTATTATAATAAATGAGGCCAGACAAGGGAAAACATGTCCCTTGGCCGTACACTGACTCTGCACTGTATGTAACTACAATGCATGGCCGCAGAGGAAAGATTGGGGGGAGGGGTATTTGGAGGGTCGGATACTTCAGTTATGAAACCATGGGAAAATTTGTCAATAGTCAAATCTAATTTGAAATTTTCATGAAGTCCACAATTTTTAACATCCTTATACATGTGGAATGCTGTCTCATATGAAACAAGCTTGATTTCACCAGTGATTTTTTGTTTGATGTACACAGTTATTTATTACCGTTGTTATGTTTTGCACACGCTTTTGCTATCGTTTTCACTCTCGAATTTGCTCATATATATCCCTGTGTGTCTCGGGCAAAATCGGCAAAATAAAATTCAAGTGTGCATGCATATATTCAAATTGTTCGTTCAAGTTTGTATGGACAAAAGTGTGTATTATTTACTAGAATTAAAGGGAAAAAAAGTAGAAAGTAATTGTTATTTATGATGGTTCGAGGTGTCTAATATATTGGTTTACCTATTCCTAATTAGGAGAAAGTAATTGTTTATTCTTGACCATTTCTTGAGCTAGTCTTTGCAGAGACTCTGTATAAATTAAAAATGTTCAATCAATAAAAAGTTAGAAGATTTTTTCCATTCACAGTCTTGGTCTAACTTGGAGGTCTTGGTTTCCCTCAAAAAAAAAAAAAAAAAAAAAAAAAAAAAAAAAAAAAAAATCCTGTTTCTGTTATTTTCCTTCCTTCCAAATACGAGAGAGAAAAATGAAGAAATCTGTCCGGAAAATACAATAACGTTCAACACGCCGTCTTATAACTTGTCTATTACTCTTTCATGTGATAGAATGATAAATTTTTGCTTTGTCAAATGCTTCAATTGAAAGGTTTCTGAACTGTCGATAATCATGTTTGTTACCCACTAAAATTTTAATCTATATATAGATTTTTTCAAATTCTAATTTTTAGATACAAATTTCTTGCAACCGAACAGCAAAAGTGATTATCACGATAGATTATTACGGGCTACAAATTACTATTACTTTGTCAAAATGAGCCAGTTCTCGTTGCATTTGGGAAGTATGCATTTTGCTTTTCTTGACGCTATGCATCATGGTTTCAAATGCCAAGTGCAGAAGCTACCATAGTCCATGAAGGTCCAAATCTATGAAGAAATAAATGTTTATCTCAACAATTTCAGTGGATTATAAGAAACAACCCATGCTTTTTCCTATGTTTGACATTGTTTTCAAATCTTTTTAATGATTTTTGTTGGTTTGGCTGTCACGTTGTTTTTAATACCAGCCATAAATAGTAAGACTATTAAGTCAGTTTTATTGTGACAAAATTCACCTTTTTAACTATTGGATTAAAAGATTTATTAAATAATTTATTCGATTTTCTTCAAATTTTAAAAAAGTATATATAAAAAAAAATTTCTTAATCTCATGATTAAAATTTTGGATTAATTACACTCACAACATTTAAGTATACTTTAATTGAATACGGCAGTACCTTATTTTGAATTCTCTATCTCCATTTTTCTTATTACCCACCATATCGCCTAATTTAACTTTTTTTTTTTTAAAGTTATTGTGGTTTTTGGTCATCCTCTTTGTCTATTACCTTCTAGGAAAATTGAACTTCATCTGCGTATCTATAGGTCTTCGAATTTTCGGTGTATGTACCAAAACCATTTAAGTATACTCTTTTTTATTTTTTCATTGATAGTTACTACACCTAATTTTTCTCTTACACTTTCTGTTGTTATCTATTTCTTCTAGTTATTCCAACTATCCATCTTAGCATTCTCATTTCCGGTATATGAATACGTTTTTCTTTTATCTATTTTTCAAAACCTACACAATAGCCTAATGGTAAAAAATAAAAACAATTACATTCGTGTCACAGTTATGGTATAACAATTATTATTATTTATATGAAATTATGCTTTTATCATTAATATAATAACATTGTTCTAATAAAAAATCATTTTAAAATGACAAATATGCCCCTATTCATCATACACCCAATACTTGTATAACATTACTCTTTTTACAACCTCTTCAATCCAATAATAATATGAGCAGTGCTATACTACACATCTCAAATTAAAAATTGAGATGTGATCTTGAATATGATATGGTGATAATTAAAAGGGCATTAATGTCCTCTATTTTAATACAAATTACACTTTTATTCTTTATGCATTTATGTTTCCTATTTTAGTAAACTAAACGAACTGTCAATTGAACGAACTAGTTTCTCTCTATCGCTAATTTTCCTTTTTCTACTAATAATTATATATATATATATATATATATATATATATATATATTCTATACAAAATCAAAATACAATTATAAAAAGCTTTAAAGTGAATTTATTTAAATTATGGTTCTTAATGATGAGAAAGATGTCATTAATTCATGGTAAAAAATTGTAGTTTTTAGTTTGAATTATTTGACGATTTGATAAAAGGGGACTCTTATTCACGAGAAAGAGATTACTCATTCCTGATAAAAAATTATAAATTATAGTTTTAATTATAATTATTTGAAGATTTAATAGAAAAGTTTTCCCAAACAAGATATATATGGCATAATTGAATTGAATTGAAGTTAAAGTTATACGAGGGTTTGGATGCTACAATAATAAGTTTTACTATTTTCTCTCTCTTTCCTATTTTAATATTTTTTCTATATTAAAAAAATTACTTTTAAAATACACAAGCAACCAAATAAGCTAACAAGCAACCACTCGCCAACCACCTATTTCAAGATAAAGTCACAAATGATCAAGATTCGTGAAGAGAATATTCCTAATAATATTGTGGGAAATCAAATAAATTATTAATATTATTTGTCACATATCTTTCAATTGGGGAGTTAATTAAGGAGGGCTTATGGCATATATTTTCTTTTTTTTTCCATGACAAGAATGTTAAGGGTTAGTGGTTAGAGGGGAGGGAGAGGTCAAGGACAGAGCCAAGATTTATTTTAGGGGCACAATGCACTTATTGAAAGAAAAAAAAAAAAAAATTAACAAGAATGACAAATATAATTTTTTTAAATCAAAAGGCAAAGAAGAAAAAAATAATTGTAAAATAATATGCTAAATAAGTACTGTAAAAAAAAATATACTTGACAAATATAAGAATCAAAATATTGATTAATAATATTTTAATTAAATACAATCACAAATGTCATCCATAAAAAGAAAGAAGAGGAAAAAATGAAACAATACATAATTATACATAAGTGAAAAAAGAAAAATTTTGAAAAAGAAAACTTAAATTAGAAAAGGAATACATAATTATACATAAGTGAAAAAAAAAAAATTTTGAAAAAGAAAACTTAAATTAGAAAAGGAAAAATATATGGTGTATTTGAAGAAGACTTTAGGGGGGGCACTATTTAAAATTACCATATAAGTATATGTAGCAAAGGTAGGGGGACGTGCCCCCTCGGAGCCTTAATTGGCTCCACCCCAAATGCATGACTCCAGCTAAAGCAACCCAACCACGGCAGTTGCCCTCTTATAGCATTCATTACTTTTGGTGTAAAGTGCAAAAAAATCCTATTGAATTATTGCCTTTTTGCAAATAACCCCTTGAATTAAAAACTACCTCCTAAACTATTGATTTGTTGCAATTAAGGATAAATCCGTCGCAAAAGATTATTTTACCCTTTTTCATTAAATTTATCATTTTTTATTAGATTATTTTTATTATCTTTCCCCTTACTTAAATATTAATTATACTATTTACCTTAATTTTATTATTAGTATTAATTTATAATAAAAATGAAAAAAAAAATAGATTTGTAACTACCATTTTCTAAAATGATTAACTTATTATTAAAATTTATTATTGATAATAAAAATTATTATACCCAGTTTAAATTTTTTTACCGTAGAAAAATACCTTTTTATATATATACAATATATTGATGAAAAATTAATAAATTAATAAAATTAGTTTAAAATTTTCTACTTATGATTTTTATTTAAACAATTAATTTACAAAATTAAAGATAAATTTATGAAAATTTAATGGAGAATATGTAATCAAATTAGTATGAGTTTTTTTCACAATTTATTTCAATAAGAAAAATATATTAAGTGTGTAATTCAATAAGGAAATGCATTATGATTATTTAAAGAAATATTGAGAGATTTTGTAACAAAATGTGATTGTTAAGAGGTTTTATTATGCACAAAATATAGATCAGAGGGTCATTTGCAAATTTAAACATAGTTTAGGGTTGTAACAAAATGTGATTGTTCAGAGGTTTTATTATGCACAAAATATAGATCAGAGGGTCATTTGCAAATTTAAACATAGTTTGGGGTTTTCTTTCCGATTTACCCTTACTTTTATTTTATTCCTTTCCTTCGTAGATAAGAATTAACGAAAGAGAGGACATTAATTAGCCTAATGTAAATAGACGACGACACAACAGTCCATGGTTACCGTTGGAAGCTACGTCAGCGAACCAAAATAACAGGTTCGGTATATCCGAAGCTAAAACCCTATAAATAACACATTCCAAATTTGAGCGTACCATAAACTAACAACCAGCAAACCAAACGAGACGAAAACGCGGAGTGACAGAGAGAAAGAGTCTCCCTTTTTGTTCGGTCTGCCACCAAACCCGCGATTTCTTCATCTCAATTCATTTCTTTATTTTCTTTCTAATTTTAGTTTGATTTAATTCGATTTGAGTTTCATTTTCAGCCACAATGGGATGAGATTCATCGATCCGCTGCTTTCTTCAGCGCGATCGGTGGATTTCTAGGGTTTCCACAACTCCCCTACCAAATACGATTTGTGGGTTTTGTGGAAACGAGATTGCATTGTGTTTCTATATGATTCTGAGTGACTGATTGTTGTTCTGGGTGATTGGTGATAATAGGGTTTCCTGAGTGATGGGTGATCATGATGTGGTGCTGTGTGTGGACCGTCTTGTGAAGCCGCTGACCGGACGACCTCCGCTACAGGAGGCTGAGGTTGGCCCCGAGAGGCTGCCAGATGTGGCGGGACCATCGCGCTCTGGGGCTGATGAGGAAGACCCGCTTTTAAATATGGGCGAGTGCCGCATTTGCCAGGAGGAAGATTCTACCACGAATTTGGAGACGCCTTGTTCTTGCAGTGGTAGTCTTAAGGTAATCTTTGGTACCCATTTTGCAATATGATAATTGTATGATTCTAATTTGTTTGCTCTTTTGTTTAATTATTATTGTATAGGTTGTTTCGGTGTTCTTGTTGAGCTGTTAATTTAGAAAGTTTTATTCATTTATTTTTTTACTTGTGGGATTCTGTTGGTTTATTTCAAGAAAATTAAAATTTATTCTGTCCGCTATTGGTTGAATGGGAATCGGGATACAAGAAATGATATGTAAAATGGGAGTGGAGAATGTGGTTAGTGAATATAATGTGTACATAAGTTGGCAAAATGGTTTGAAATATAATGGTGAGCTTATGGTAGATTTTGTTTCCTACTTTTTGCTAAAGGAAAAGGAACTCTTAGACTAGTCCTGTTGGAAACTATAAGATAAATCTTTTGAGAAAGTATAATGGGAATTGTGAGAAATGTGTACATATCTTGGTAATAATGATTTGGATATAATAGACCATGATAATTGTGGGAAAATATGTCTCTTTTGAGGTTTGCTGGAGATTAGGATTTTCAAAAGTAATCTTCCCCTAGCATCTGCAGAACTTGTCCAAGTTTCTTGTTGACTATGAGCATCACTAGAGTTACATCCACTTAATGGGCATGAGGTGGATAGAATTCCATTTTATGGATAGAAGGGGGAGGGCCTTGTGATTTTCTTTGAAATAGTGAAGGCATTTTCCTGATTTTTCACTTTAATCGTGCTGGTTGTGTTTTTTGAATGCTATCCTATTACCGGCTTATGAATGTTTGTTGTCAATTGATTTTATGCTTTATTTTTCTCCTGTGTTTTTTATTTGGGCCTCTCAAATGCATTTTGACTTCCTTAGGACTGTTGCATCTTCAATTTATTGAGCCTTCCTTGGGATTTATTTATGCATATTGCATACACTGTAAATTTTTTTATACGAGGATTTTTTCAAGCTACAATAGGCTAGGCATTTTGATGTATTGAATTTTTATTGTTCTAAGAGCTTGTCATTCTTTTGAAAGTCACTAGCATCATAGCAATTTTGGTACCACCAGGTTTATTGGGTGGAAATGTTAAATGAGCAGTAAGAATTAGCCAGTATTATCATTGGCGATGACTTGTTATTCTTTTCCCCCTTTCCTTGTGTGAAAATGTATGTGATTAAGATTTTTCCCCATTCTCAGTGTTTTGGTTAAATGTCTTAACAAGAACAATTTTTGCAGTATGCTCACAGAAAATGTGTTCAACACTGGTGCAATGAGAAAGGAGACATAACTTGTGAAATTTGTCATACGGTATGCTTGCTGCTCCTTATTTCTTGATTCTTCTATACAGGTCTTGCATTTTTTTAGGATGTCAATAAATGCTTGTTGAGCTTAAATTTTCTATTGTATGCATGCTTGTACTAATAATATCAATGTTTAAGACTGAAATCGGGATGTAAATAATTCAGATTGTATTTGTTTGAAGGATTTCAAATTTGATAAACTCAGGAATATATTTAGGTAGAAGTCCATTGACATGCTTGGTTTCGAAGAAAAGCAATACAGACTCCCTTGTTTTACATAGTTCCTCTTCAAGATTTACTGGCCATGACCTGCTAATCATTAAATTTTAGGTTCTAACCTTTTGACACACTTGGTATGGTAGAACATTGTTATGGCATCTTTTGATTGCACTAAGAAAACCTGGGAATGTGTTATGAGATATAAGGTAGCATTAAAGATGTGGGAATGGAGTAGCTTCGCTAATTTTTCCTACAAGGATTAATCTAACACAGACTTAAAAACGGCACATGCATTAACATGTCTAACTGTACTGACCAAGTTATGTTGTTTGCAAGTGTACGTCATATCTTTTAGTTTTAGTAAGCTGAAAATATGCTATGTTTGAGATTCTTTGATACAAACTAGATGTTTTTTATCCTGTAATTAGTATAACTGCTGTTCATTTTTTATTATTTCTGGCCATAGTACACAAAGTTCTACCTATAATGGTGTTTTTTTTTTTTTTTTTTTTTTTTGCAATTGATGTACAGCTTTACCAACCTGGTTACACTGCTCCTCCACCTCGCGCTGAAGAGACTGCCATCGACATTGGGTGAGTTTCTGTTTTTATATGCTGCTTGTACTAAAACTTTTGTGCTGTTACTGACATATCTTCTTGTATTTTTTGAACTTTATATGGATCGCCTTTTAGTGCATTTTCTTATGATTTAATTTTTTATTTGAAAAAATATATATTACATTTTTAGACTGTCATATGATATTTTTTGGTTCTTGGAACCATCTTACAGTGGCGGATGGACAATCTCTGGTACCCCATTAGATTTGCATGATCCTCGAGTAATGGCAATGGCTGAGGCAGAACGTCACTTTTTGGAAGCTGAGTATGATGAATATGCTGCTACAGATGCCAGTGGAGCTGCATTTTGTCGTTCAGCTGCTCTAATTGTAAGTCCCCATTACCATGTTGTAAAAGTTTGAACACACAAAGAATATACCAAATATATGTTTTTATTTTCCTCCAGAAATTCTCTCCGTTATTTTGTTGTTTTCGAACATTGTGTAAAGTTGAAATGATGTGATCCTAAATTGCTTTTCTTTGAGTAAAGAGAAAAACTGTGTTATATTGCTGCGAGGAGCTGATAAAGTTCCCGTTAGTTAATCTGGTTCTACAAGTTAGCTCTTTGATTGGGATGCCCTAAGTTTTGATCATGTAAACCTTTTTTTTTCAACTTGTATGGTTGGTTGGATGATGCTGTTGCTGTGCAAATGTTGTCATGCTCTTGCTTTTGAATCTGATTTTTCAGATGCTCATGCAGTTAAGATTTAATTTGGCAGTTAATGGCTCTTCTGCTCTTGCGGCATGCATTGACCGTGTCAGATGCTGATGGAGATGATGATGCATCTACTTTTTTCTCCGTAAGTGGGTTTAGAGCTTTTATTTCAGTCTATTATATGGCCTATTTTCTGCATTTTGTCGGTCTATGGTCATTGTGTTTGAATTTAGTTTACTAACTGATTGATGTTTTGCAGCTTTTCTTGCTTCGGGCTGCTGGGTTTTTGCTGCCCTGCTACATTATGGCCTGGGCCATCAGTATATTGCAGCGTCGAAGAGAGAGAGAGGTCAGTATTTCTTGGTTCTGCTGTCAATTATAATTATGTTATGAGTTCCCACTGGCAATATACATATTCTTTTTCTTTCTACATTTGATTAAATACATTTAGACTTTTCTTCTGCTTATAATGGCCTTGAAGAAAGTGGTGATATCCACTTCCTTATGAGTTCACTCATTCAGGGGAGATCATCTCGTGACTTCGCATTCATGTGGTGGCCAATGTGGTATTTGTTTGTCCTACATGGGATCTACTGATCTAGAACTACTTTAATGGTTAAATACAGTGGCTTCACATCTTGAGATTCTCACATGGATATATAGTTATGTTTACTCAGAACCTGGTACTGATACATGATGCATACATTGACTTGTGGAAGTGTTTCGAATGAACTTTTTGTGATTTTGATTTAACAGGAGGCTGCAGCATTGGCAGCGACACAATTTGCATTTGTGCTACAATCAGGGCAGAGCAGGGGTCTACAGTTCACAATAGCGTCGGCACCGTCAGTGACACCGGTGACACCCCACCAGGAAACTGCTTAATAAGTTAAATGCGTTGTTTTCAAAGCCATTTGAAAAGAGTGTTTTGGCATTTATCCATGACTGGCAAATTCCAATAAATGCCGCCAAACTCCAACGCGTATTACCTTGTTCCGCATTTCCTTGTTATAAGTGTTTGTATATGAATACGGTTGCATCTTGACATGAATTTCTAGGGAAAACCTGTTGTGACATAGTCTTGTCAAACATGGACATCTATCTCCAGCTGTATATCATATATTTTTTTTAATGTAATGTTTCATTTCTGATATCAGTTTTTTTATATTTAAAGCCAGTTGGCCGGGATAATGTTGTTCAATTTGTGTGGTTTGGTTGTTTAGAATATTGTCTTGCTGTATGGTTGTTGTTCTCAGAGTCTTTCTGAACAGAGGCCATGAACACATGCACACGCGCGCGCACACGTACACAAGCTGCATATTAGTCCATGCCACTGGTGTATAATGCTTAGAAAGAACAGTCTATTGCAAGAAGCATATGGTTGTCCTCATGGTTGTCTTTTCATTAGGTTATCAGAAAAAAATCCCACTAATAACTACTTCCTCACAAGGTCGAGGGGTTAAAGTAGGTGCGTGAATTTCTTGCCAAAATCACACAGAAAAGGAGTCTCTAGCATATTGCTAAAGAATAAATGTAAATAGGGTTTGAAATTAAGGATTGTAGCATATGGCTGTGAGATCAAGGATCTGGCTGTGATATCAACTGTAACGGGTTGGGTATTTTGAAATCAGACCAAAAATTTGAACTGTTAGGTGAGACTAACATGCAACTTATATATACCCAATTTACTTTTCATTTGGATCTGACGTGGGACAACTTTGGAGACTACAAATTGAGCCATGAGAACAAGAGTATGAATTATTGAGGCAGTTCGATGGCTCTACCAAAATCGACCCAACATTGTTTTTTTTTTTTCAACGCCATAACACATCAATGGTGTTTACAACTTTACATATACATATATGGACTTACCTAGTGATGGAGAAAAGCATGCAATACATGATCACACATAAAAGACACTTGTGGAGGATATGAAGACCAGAAAGTGACAACACAATGACCCTTTTTCACTTTAAGTGGAGGTTAAAGAAGAGAATTAACAAAATTCATAACACATAAATGATGAGGCTGCATTGCTTGGACCATGACCAGTCTCCCTTCATCTCAAGACACCTTTCAAGAATCATCATGCAATTTTGATAAAGCAAAAGAAGCCATATATGCCTTAGAATGTTCCAACCTGCATGTGATTTGTATATAATAGATTAAAGAAAAAAGAAGTAAACAAGGGAAAAAGATGGCCAACTTGGCGCAACGGTAAAATTACTCTATTGTGACTTGGAGCAAGGCTGCGTTACCGCGTATATCAAATCCTTCACAGATCTCGCAGTGACAGAAGTCTCGTGCACTGGGCTACCCCTTTAAAGAAACAAAGCAAAATGTGGTATAGGGAGAAAATTACTAATTTAGAGAGACAAAAGGGAAGGGGGAGAGGAGGACAATTGAAGTGCTTCCTTGAAATATTGAATGGGGGAATTGGGACATCACAATCAAAAGAAAAGCATAAAGAAACACATTTAGCACAAGAAACCAGGATTGTTATTTTTGCTGCATAGAGAAGAGAGCTTATGCTTCTAAAGGAAATCTTCAAATAGCATAAAGCAAGGGTTTGGTTTTTCTTTTCTTTTAGGAGGGGCTTCTATTTCGCTTTCTTTTCTATTCCATTCATTCATATTAAAATGTCCTAACGTTGCAATCTACTAGCTTTGGCTTGCTCATGGCCTGTCTGCCCAGTCACTCTCACTCAAAAACTCACTTTTTTTAATACGTAAGGAATAGTAATTTACCAAGATAGATATTCATATAATGATCATACTAGGGATCCGAAACCTCTCCAGTGAAATAGTAAGACATGTTCCGTCCAGTTCGGGATGTACCTTACAAAAAAGTTGAGATCTTTGTTAAGTATTCCAATCTTTTTGTAAAGTACATCCCGAATTGGACGGAACATGATTTTTATTGTTCACATGAGGGGATTTTCTTTCATCAAACGGACCCGAATCCTCTCAAGTGGAACATTAGGACTAGTTCAGTTCAGTTCAATTCAGGATGTACCTTACAAAATGGTTAGCATCATATATAGTATAGATACATCAAACCCTCTCGAGACCCATAGCACTGGGCTAGTAATAATAATAATAATTATTGTTATTTAAATAATCAAACGAGCATCATATAATGTATGTCTATGGTGCATATAAGCATAAGAATGTGGCAAGATAAATGGAGTCCAAGAGACTGGGTTGGTCTTTCTTTAGCAGACAAAAGCAGGGCAAATGATAGAGATGGAAGAGAAGCAAATGGAAAAAGATGCTTAGCTTCTCTAGGGTTTTGTTCCAACACCTTTATACTTATCTAGTCAGATTCTTCTATTTGCTTAGATTGCATCTTATTTTTTTTTTTTTGGAGAGAATCTAATATTCCTCTCTAGATATTAAAGCTCCCTCTAATTCCCATAAGAATAAATGCTACCTATATCTACAGGAATGGATGATAATTAAGAATACAAGGAATACAATCTCTAACTTGCTTGTCCTCCATCTCTCTATCCTTCTTGATTGATTAGAAACCATGAGTTCTACTCTTCATAGACTGCTTATGCTTCTTGTGTTCACTGGAGTCATAGCACTTCAAACAGAGAAAATCTCCGGCCGGAAAAGTGTAGACCTTGTCCTGAGATGGAGCAATGAAGATCAGGGAGTAGTTCTGCTGAAGAATCATCGTATGCTTCAGGCAGTCGCGAAGCAAGACCTCAACACGGAGAAGGAATTGTCAGCTGTGAGCAAGAAATTTAATCCAAATCAATCGAGCAAAAGAGGAGTTCGAAGAGGATCAGATCCCATCCACAACATGTCTTGACCATGTTCAAGGTGTTTCTTATAATACTAGAGAAAACTAGGAGGAGGTGGGCAATAGGTACAGTGAAGATTGTGCTAGCACTTTTTGGTTACAACTAGAAATTTTCAGTGTTTTCATTAGTTACCTTAGTTTCTTGCAGATATAGTGAAATTATTCTGTATTTCTTCTACTCTAAGAAAAAGTTTCTTCAACATGAAGTGGCTACAACTATGCTTTGATCATTACGGAGTCCAAATATGAATTCAATTTCTTTCTTTCAACAGAGACAAGCAAAAAAATGCAATTATATGAACACTCAATCCAAATAGTGTAATTGGAATCATCACTCAACACAAACATATTTGTGTGAAGCACTGTGTCTCACATTCAAATAGTTAATTATTTTATATTTGATTGCAGGGATTATATTTGTATGAAGCACTGTGTCTCACATTCAAATAGTTAATTATTTTATATTTGATTGCAGGGATTATTATTTTATTGTAATTTTTAGTTGGAGTGGAAAAAAAGGGTGGTTCTAGATGAAAAGATCGGGGAACCAAACAAGGGGTTTGACTAATTGAAAAACACTTGGGCCTTGGTGCTTAGTGATCAATTCATATTAGGATGAGGAACAATTCCAATAAGATAAGGAACCGTTTAATAGTGGAATTATGTCGTAATAAAATTTTGAATGTAAAAATTAAGCTCACATCTCTCAACCTACAAAACAATGAATTTTCATGAGAATCTCAAGAGCTAGCACAATGGTAAAGTTATTCCATTTCAGTTCATTGATTCGAAACCAAAAGAATCCGCCTCTTTTCATAATAAATGGTTAAAAAAATATTCAATCCTTTTAGGAGGTATACAATAATTTAGCTCCTTTATTTATTTATTTTATTTTTTATTTCTCGTAAATTTGGAAGCTACTAGTATTACTGTGTATCTGGAGAAAACTATAAGAAATTGTTACTTTATGTTATGGAGCAATCATCTACTGTTATAGCACCACTACTCATATTTGCAACATGCTTCAGAAAATGTGGATTCATTTATGAATTTGAGTTGAGTTTCAGTATCATTATGAATAATATTATTAATTCATGCATGTTAAACATGTGCCTTGCTATGTTTGAAATATGTTAGTACTCCATACACTAGGTGGCTCATGCATTACTATTCAAGGTCTCATCCTCATTCATTGGCTTAGTAAGGCAACTTCCTCCATTCGATTTGGGAGGACCAAAGATGAGGCATGTCCTTTCTTTTTTAAGGAACCTGAAACATGTCTTTCTATGTATAAGAAGAACAAAGAACCTCTTTTTTTTTTTTTTTTTGGTGTATGATTATTATTTTTTAAAATTCTTTTGTATGGGCTGTCTATATTGAAAATAAACTTGATTTTAGAATTTTAGTATTAATTAGTATTTTAAAGCATTTGGTATACATGATGCATGTGTACATTTCATGTTAGTGGGTAATAAATTATCGTAATAAGAATTAGTAAATGAGAGTTAGTGTGATGGTGAAGGTTATGTAAAATCAAGGGTCATGAGAGTTAAGTCTAAATGGTTATGTTAGTGGGAATTAAACCTCCTAAATACCATGCTAGTGGGAGTAGTGGGAGTTAAGCTTAAAAGTTATATTAGTGTGAGTAATTGGGCACTTAAATGTAATTGTTACACCTATGTTCTTGTGACGTATATATTCATGTACTCTAGTCAAATAATAATAGAAGTGAAATAAAATAATTTTTTAAGTATTCCTCCATATCATTCTCTCCAAAATATTATTAAGTGTTGTGTGTATTTAGGCCACTATTTTCAACAAAGTGGTATCAGAGCAAAAGCCAATAAAGTGGTATCAGACTATTTCCAACAAAGTGGTATCAGAGCCGGGTCATCATCAGAGCCCACGTTCCATATCAGAGCCACGATACTGAAGACCTGATGAAGTTGATCCTAGAAGGTTCAGCATTTTTAGAAAAACATGTTTTTCCTTGATGATGATGAAGAGGGAAAAATGTATTTTCTTAGTGAGAAGATGATGTTTTCTAATTACAAGAGAATGAGAATCATCATGACTTCATACCTCAAAGCATGTGATTTGTGGGATGTTGTTGGAGAAGAGCGAAAGAATGGCATGTCCAACAAGATTCGTGTGAAGAAAGAAGAGAAGGCATTGGTAATGTTACAAAAGGCAATACATCAAGAAATTTGGGAGTATTTTGGAGAGTCCAAAACTCCAAGTTGTGTTTGGAAGATGCTCGAGACCATCGTTTCTAATCATAGAGGTGAATCACTACCCATAGAGTATTGGGTACAATGCTTTGAGAATGATAAGTTTACGA